CGGGGCGGGCGCCCGGCCGGCCGGCGCGGCAGCGGCGCGGCCCGGCAGGCGAGGGCGAGGCACGCGGGGAGGCCTCGCTCGCTCCTCCTCGCTCGGCCCCCGCGCGAGTGGCGTCGCTCCGGGCGGGGAGGAGACTTCCCTCCGCGGCCCCGGCTCGGCTCGGCTGGCTCGGCTCCGGCGCGCCCTCGCGGGGCAGGGAGAGGCGCCGGGCGCGGAGGGGCCCGCGGGGCGCACGCTCCCGCGCGAGGATGCTCCCGTAGCCGGCGCGGCTGCCGCTCCTCCGCCTCCGCTCCGCCTCCGCCTCAAGCTGGCAGCCGGGAAGGATGCGAGAGGCGGGCGGGCGGCGTCTGCGCCCGGCGCTGCCGCTGCCGCTGCCCCCGTGCGTGGGAAAGCGCTGACCCGCGCGCCCGGCCGCGGCGGACCCCCAGGCTTGGCCCGACCCGCGCCCGGCCGCCGACGCCGTCGAGGGAGAGGGTGAGCCGGGCGGGCGAGGGGGGGAGGCCGCGGGAGGGCGTGGAGCGGGGCCTCGATCCGCCGCCGCCGCCCGCCTGCTCCTGCGCCTCGGGCTGCCGCGGCTGGAGGCGCGCCGAGCGCGGGCGGCGGCGAGGGGGCAGCTTCAGCCCCTCGTGCTCCCCTTTCCGCAGAGCCTGGCTGAGGACGCGGGTCTGGGGGGACGGCTGGGGAAGCGCGTGTACGTATGTGTGTATGTATGGAAGGCAGGAACTCCGCTCCGACACCCTTCCCATCCTACTTCATGGCAAGAGAGGGGCTCTCCTTTCGAGCTGGGACCTGGAGGGCAGGTCTCGCTCCCGCTCGTTTTCCTGAGGAAGAATCCTGCCCCTGGACCAACTCTGCTTCCATCTGTAAAGAAAAGTTGATCTTGTCGTGCCTGTTCAGGACACAAGATGTGGGGGGAGTCTGAGAGGGCAGCCGAGGAAGGGCGCAGGCGGGCGAGTGGGTGGGTTCGCAGCCAGCCTGTGGGAATGCAGCATTCGGTGAGAATGTGCGTTTGACGCTCTCCATCTGCCTCTTTCCCCGCCAGGGGCCTGCGTGTGTCAGTCTGCGCAGGGCATGAGCCCTGGTGGTGCCTGAGCTCGCCCTGCCCTGCCCGTCGTCGCCTGGGGCTCATGGGCGACAGACCACCGCGGAGGTGACTTTCGTTCTGGGGTGCGCCCTCTGCACGCGAGGACCGGCTGGTGCAAACGGGCGGGCGAGATGCCGCGGAACAGGGCCTTCTCCGAGCCCGAGTACTCGGCAGAATACTCGGCGGACTACTCGGTCAGCTTGCCCTCCGATCCCGAGCACCGGGTGGGACGGACCCACGAGGTGACCGTGAGGAACTCCGGCTCGTGCCTCTGCCTGCCGCGCTTCCTGCGCCTCACCTTCGCCCCGGAGTCCCTGGAGAACCTCTACCAGACCTACTTCCGGCGGCAGCGCCACGAGACGTTGCTGGTCTTGGTGGTCTTTGCCGCCCTCTTCGACTGCTACGTCATCGTCATGTGTGCCGTGGTGTACACGGCGGAGAAGCTGCCCGCCACCATGGCGGCCGCGGTGGCCTTGGCTGTCCAGGCCCTCCTGTTCGTCCTCTGCAAGTACGAACTCCTGCCGGACCGCGTCACCCGCAAGTTCATGCCCTACTTCCTGTGGATCCTCATCGCGGCCCAGATATTCTGCTACCTGGGCCTGAACTTTGCCCGCTACCACGAGGCCAGTGACACGGTGGGCTGGCAGGCCTTCTTCGTCTTCTCCTTCTTCATCACCCTCCCCCTGCGCCTCACGCCCATCGTCCTCATCTCGGCCGTCTCCTGCGGCATCCACACCCTGGTGCTGGGAGTCACCATCGCGCAGCAGCGACAGGAGGCCCTCCGAGAAGAGAACTTGCTGTGGCAGGTAAGGGCGACTGTCTTGACGTGGCCGGAAGAAACTAGGGGGCCTGTGAGTCTTTGGAAGGCTAGCGGAAGAGCAGGGAAGGGCGGGTGCCGGACCTCAGGCAGGCAGAGAAGGCTGACAAGCGCTGGAAGCGGAATACGTCCTCAGGGCAAGCGATTTATCTTCCTTTATATTTCTATTCAAGCAAGTTATAGTCTAGAGAAGATATATGTCCATGAATAGGGATGGGCTTAATAAAATGTGGCCCAATTCAGGGCTTCAGCTGGTTCACGGATGTGGGAATCCAAGCATGATGAGACATACTGTGCACAATTTCGATTCCTGAGAAACCTTTAGTGGCTCTTTAGAAACAAACCACCAGACCAAGTTCCTAGCCCTCATGGTTTCCAGCAGAGTTCAGCAGCGCAGAAATATTGAGCTTTGGTGCTCTGGATGGCTGGCTCTCGGCCTTACAATAATCCTCCTCCTCATCTCTGTGGACTTAAGGACCTCACTGAGCTCTTCTGCCCTTCTGTTGCTGAAAGAAAAAGCTGGTTTGGGGCAGAGGAGCAGGAAATTCAACCAGGTTCGCAGTAAGGCATGTGTTTCCTGCATACATAGCCATGTTAATTTTTTAAAGAAGGCAAGGTGTCCATGTTTCAAATAATTATATTGTTTATCTGAGTCCACAGCCTGGCATTTTGCTTTTGTTTACTGGGGAGTGGGGTAAGCTATGAATGGCCCTTGTTTTAATTAGTATTGGCTCATACTTGGTTCTCATTGGCTCTAACAAGTATTTGGGACCAAGATGTGGTGGCAAAGCAGCAGAAGGCCTGGAATGCTCTGCTTTCTTTGTCATATGAGACCGTACGCAGTCGAAAGGGCGACTTCCCTGCTTGGGGCTTTGCTGAGGTATCCCCTCTGGCACACCTTCCCCAAGGGAGGGGCAGCCCTCCCAGTGTTGCTGGACTTCCCTCCCCATCGTCCTGGACCAACTGCACCTGAATTTGCAACCTTCCTAGTCCTGTCCTGTCTTACAGCGATCCAGTTGTAAGACTTGTGAATGGTGCGCATGTCGTGAGCGGAGCCGGCTAGTGCTGGAGGTCAGACTAGATGGCCCAGGAGGCCCCTTCTGACTCGCTCTGTTTCTATGTTTCTATGAGTACAGCCAGCTGTAGCTGGGGTCAGACTAGATGGCCTGGGAGGACCCTTCTGACTCACTCTGTTTCTATGTTTCTATGAACCAAGCTGAAACAGATGCCTTCAGTTGTGCCCCGGGTCAGCAGGTTTTCTTGGGAAATGCACAAGTTGCTTGCCCAGTACAGAGGCTGGTGCTCAAGGAATCCTTTAATTCCTTGGCCACCTTTGGGGCGGGATCCGTCCCTTGGGCAGTCCTACTTCTGTGTTCGGCTTCTGGGTTAGACTGAATAGCTCTCTTCTTGGTGGTCTTGTACACCAGGGGTGGGACGGGGTGTCCCTGAGAGTTAGTTGCAGTGCTGTGGAAGATGGAGGGGTGCATCCGTTGGTTCCTCTGAAGCCCTGCGTGATGCGGTATGTGTGCCTGCAGCAGCTCCCACGGCCTTGCAGGATGCTTCTGGGGGCTGCCTGGGGAGGCAGGATGGGGGAAGGTCTGCAGCTCAGCTCTTTGGCATGCAGAGGCCTCTGATTCACTGCGTGGTTTCTCCCAGTGGAGTTAGGAAAGAGCTGAGTCTAAAACCTGAAATGATGCTACCGGGCCTTTGAGACAGTGCAGAGCTAGAGGAACTGATGTTCTCACTCAGTGTAGAACCTCTTCCAAATTCTTATTTAAATCATGTTACTTTACTTTTTACAAAAGGGCCATATCTGAACGTCTGACTTGCTAAAGGGCAGCTTCTTAAGTTATCCCATGTATTGGGAGAGGCCTTAAATTTATTTATTTATTCATTTATTTAGCAGACTTACATGCCGCCCCAATCGCCTAAGCCTCAGGGCGGCTTACAAATAAATAAATATCGTTAGTACAATAAAATACAGTTGGAGACATCCTGGCCAAAGTTGTTACAATCAATAAATAAAATCAACAATTAAAATGACAATTAAAATTAAGAAGGTCTCATATCCGGTCCATGCTACCTCCAGGTGAAGTTGGAAAAAATCTTTCCTGAAATCCTGTAGAGTAGCTGCCGGCCAGTGTCAGCAACACTGGGCTGGGTGGGGCAAGGCAGTTTTCTAAGTCCCTTCCCTTGTCTTTGAGCATTGACATGCCAGGATGAACCGTCTGCAGAATGAAAGGCCTATTCGTTGGATTCGGCTGCCTTGGGAGGCATCAAGCTGAAGGAAAGAAAGAAAATTATGTGTAGGCAAAAAGAAAAGAAAAACGGTTACCCACGAGGACCAGTGAACAGCTGAATGTGAGCAAAAACGAGGCTAGACAGTGGTCCAAGGTTTCACTGGGATGCCAGGAAGCGCTTCCTGACAGTTGGGACCCCGAGGGTGTGGAATGGGCTTCCCTGGGAGGTGGTGGAGGCCCCATCGGTGCAGGTGTTCAAGGACAGGCTGGACGTCCACATGGTGGGCATGTCGTGAGCGGAGCTGGCTGGAGCCGGGGGCCAGACTAGATGGCCTGGGAGGCTCCTTCTGACTTCCTCTGTTTCTATGTGTGAACAGACAGACCTTGCTGACCAGGCGAGGGGATGTCACACGGAGGTGGGTAGAGACCTGTTCTCCCCTGCAGAGGAAGGCAGGACGCGCTCCAACGGAGCAAAGCTCAGGGAGCCAAGGTTCCATTTGGATGCCAGGAAGCACTTCCTGACAGTCAAGACCCCGAGGGGGTGGAATGGGCTTCCCCAGGAGGTCGCTGAGGCCCGATCGGTGAGGGTGTTCAAGGATAGGCTGGATGTCCACATGGTGGGCATGTCGTGAGCGGAGCCGGCTGGTGCCGGAGGTCAGACTAGATGGCCCGGGAGACCCCTTCTGACTCGCTCTGTTTCTATGCTTCGATGGTTCTATGAAATTGAACTGTCAATAGGACCCACTGAAAAGTCCACTGCTCTGCAAAAGAAATCAAACAAGCATGCCCACAACACGACGAAGTTTACTGGAAGGGCACTGTGTGTCCTGTCTTTGAGAAATAGGTTTTTCCACAGGGCTTCCTTCCAAGAGATTCTTTAGGATGCCTGGAAGCAGACCTGTTAATTTGTCCCTGGGTGGAAGATCCCATGTCCCAAGAGCAGTAATCCTATCCACACTTACCTGGAAGTAAGCCCCATTTAACACAATGGCACCCTGAGTAAACATGCAATGCATTTTGGCTGTCATTCAGCTTTTCTGTCTGCACAAAATCCTGCTTTTTCCATTTTATCATCCAGTAGAACAGTTTGCATATGGCCCTGACAGAGCCTATTTATCCATGGTAATTGTTTGTTCCTGAGAAGTGGCGCTAATTGGCGAGAGATTGGCCTACCCCCCCTGCGTGACTGCTGTGGATTGCGCATATGCAACCGCATTTTTAAATGCTCTACAGAAAAGCCCCCTTGCAAATAGAAAAGGATCAGCCTGGGCAATTTCTGTATTTCTTGATTGTCTGCCTCCTTTTCTGCACCTGGAGTCGGAAGTGATGTGGGTCTTTATCGTGCTTGTGGAGATCAGACTGGACTTTGGGGGAAAATTGTGTATGAAGAGGGTTCTTCACCCCTCCCTTGAAGGGCTGCAGGCAGCATTTTAGGCTAACACCAGGCTGTGGATCTGGCGTATTTGTTGCATTATTGCAATGGAGAGTAGCTTGGTGTTGCTCTGACCAGATCTGTCTGTACCTCTTGAGTGTGAAAGGGTCCTGTTAGGATGTTATTTTATTTCTATTTTGGTTATTCTTGGTTTGTAATTCTGGGTTTTACTGCAGAAAATCCTCAGCCAAGTGGATATATGACTTCCATCTTCTCAGTTCATGCTGCGATGAAGCAGGGTCTTGCCTGTGAAATCTAACAAGACAATTAAGGAGCTAGTCCTCAAGGTGCTATGGCACCTTTATTTATAGCTTTTGTTATTGGACATTGTGAATTCACTGATGTTTCTTCTATCAATACTGAAGGAACTTGAAACAGGGATTTCTTTGGGGCAGGTCTCAAATCATGCAAGGCTTGGGAAGCAGAAACGTTATTTCAGGAAACACCCAGAAGGCTACAGAGTAGGGTTCCCAGTCCTTTTAGAGCTGTGGACACATCTGGGAATTGGAGGAACTGCCGTGGGCACCTCCACAAAATGGCCGCTGTGCATGTACATGGGAGTGGCTGATCAAAAGCAAGCTGCAGCACGGTGTGGGAGAGAGAAACCACAAATCCGGAGGCCAAAAGGAAGGGGGAAGCAGCGAGGCAAAAGGGCAATGGAGAGATGAAGAGCAGGGCTGGCGCTGGGAGGGAGACGGAAGACGGCCCTGACGTTTTCCTAAAATGTTCTTAAAACCAAAACGGTTGCATTGTGCAGGTCCCTGCGAGTGCTACCCCGGGGGCCCCTGCTTTGGGAAGTCAGGGTGGGCAGCCCATGGATCTTAATCTGGGGTTTGGTTGTGGCCAAAGAAGGTGCTTGGTGGTGCACTCAAAAAGGGTCTCATTTTACAGACCACGTGAATGTCCGGAGCTGAGTTGCTTTTTAAGCAGAATGGCTTCGGATTTTGCTGTTCCTGCTGGTGGAGGACAGCTTGGCATCCGTCAGCTCCCGTGTTTTGCTTCTCTTCGTGTACCTGAGCAAGAGGTGGCCTGGAGGAAAAGCGCACTGGCAAGCTTCGTGCGCAAACGGGGCTTTTTCTGGAGTTCACGTGTGGCCCCTCATCCATCTCTCGCAAGACAGTCGCCACTGAAGAGCAAGAAATGTGGGAGCAGGGCTGGCACTTTCCCCCAGAGAAGTGGGGCAGGTGTGCTTCATCTCCAGCAGGGCTCACTTCCACTCTTTTCCCTTAGCCAGGCTCCGAGACTGGAAAGCTTCCCAGTTTGGGGGCGAAAGGGCCTGGGGAAAGAACTCTTTCCCACGGGAATCAGCCCGCTTCC